TAAATAACAACAAAATTACACAATTTTCACTGTATTTGAATCGGGAAAAAAAAATATTATTTTACAGATATCTGTCGTTTGTTTGGCAGAAAAATTATGTACAAAAATAAATAAAAATTTATTTTGAAACAGTTTTGTTAAATTACATATAATATTGAGTTAAAAAAGAAGGCATAAATAGTATTTATTTACATGTTGACTGTAAAAAAAACAACAAAAAATGCCAAAAGTGTAAATAATGTCCCCCTAAAAAAAACGAGTGTTTTTACAAATAGTAATAATAGTCTTTTATAATGCGTGTCCACAAAATTACACTGTTTACTGAACTTAAATCTGCTAAAAAATATTATTATTTTACATATATTTGTTTTGTTTTTGTTATTTCTTTACTACTATTGAACATATTGTTTCTGGTACCTTTGCGACCAGATTTTCACTATTTTCTTACGGACAGAAATAAGTATAGCTACAGTTAATTACACAATAAATACAAATATTTAATTCACTGAAATGTTCACGTACACTAGTCTTCATGCAGACGTGGTTAATGTTTGACCAGAACTTTTAAATCTCTGCAATGAAAAGCATCAGTTCATTATTTTGTTTATTTTTCACACAAAATGGGAAGTAATGAATAACGTCATATATATACTTTATGGTGCACCGATAATCAACTAGCGTCTAGGAAAGGATGAGTGATTGATATGCAGTAAGACGAGTGAATGAATCGATCAGAACTTCATGATTTATTCAAGTCAGAAGCAGGAGGGTCAAGAGCCGAGTGAAAATGTTATTTCTGCAGAACGTCTCTCTTCACAACATTATTTCTTCAGTATGTATAATATAACGCTTCTGCACCTTCTGATGATGTGAGATCACCTCATTCACGCAGCGCTAAGTTCACCAGTAACTTAAGGACACACATCTGCACGCTGGTTGTGATTCTGATTAAATTCAAGATTATTTTTTTTTACACTTTGTCACGCAGACATGCAACAACAACTTGGAAAGGTCAAGTCGTACGGTTTCATTTAATATGCGCCACACCTCGCTGCGATGAATGCTGGGGGAGCGATTCAGCTGAGGAGAAGGGATGTGGATTTGGATGCAGAGTGCGTCCGGTGGGAGTTAATAAACACCAGATAAAATCGACCGGCAGATTTGTGGAATAATAAAAAGTAATGAAAGGACAGTGGTTTATAGTCGAACCAGGGATGATTTGAAATAATAAGCGGAACAGGGAAAAAACACAGATGTAGTTAAGACTGGTTATACTTAAACAACGTCTAAAACTCAAGTTAAAGCATGCAGTCTACTTAGTTGTTGATATTATGACCTGTTGTATGATTATAAATGGATGTAAATGGATGTAAATGTAATTCAGAGTACTCGAGTAAATATAAAACGAGAAAATCTCATACACTCTTATAAATTTGTTGACTTTTTCTATATTATATTTTCTATATTTTTATCTTATTTTATTTTACTTTATTTAACCTTCATTTTATACCCTACTCTAATATTCTATGTTGGTTTTTTGCTTTGTTTACCCCTTTGTTGAATATAGTAATAACAGAAATTCCCTCAGGGATTGATGAAGTCAGTCTAAGTCTAAGAAAACCCGACTTGTTTATGGGAATACGACTATAGACTGTATAAAAGATGGACGTAGCAACCGGCCCTAAAAAATGAAGCCAACCCAGAAGTGTCAAAAACCTGCAATATCACTACGTCCACTAGCTGCTGGCTCCAAAAAGCCCTGGCTCCCATAGAAATGAATTGGAAAAGAAGTGATCACAGATCCTGAAATACTGCATTCCTACAGCTCAGGATTTTGTTCTTATTAGTTTTCATGGTCAAATTCAGAGATCAGGTGGCCAATCTGAAAATAAATCAATACGAAATTTTTAAAAAATCGTCAGAATTTTGCGGGGCAAGGGGCGTGGCTGGCTTGATTGACAGTCGGCAGCGACCATACAGATGAAGCGAGCAGAAGGCGGTAAATGTGGGCGGGGCAGAGAGGGCCCGCCTCTCAATCCATCTGACCAATCGCTGCTCCTATGGCTCCGCCCCCCTCCGATGATTTTTGAGTCACTGGCTCCAAAAATCCAAGATGTCAACCAGGAAGTAGCAAAACCCTGGCTTCATTTTCTCAGTGCAGAAACCAACAGGTGACATCACCGTAGCTACGTCCATCTTTTATACAGTCTATGATCTTAGCCATGTAGATGAGAGTTACTGACACATTTTGACTCCTTGGCTGTTTAGATGAACTAAATTTAATGGCATATGGTGGAAATAGTGCAACATTTAGAACAAAAAATTGAGAAAAATTCAGAGATTAGTTTTTAAACACTATAAACATTAAAAAGTAATTATAAATAATAATATAAAGAGCCTGTTAACTGTACTGACTCCTCCCCTTATTACTATAAACTAGAGCAGATAAGCATCCACTTAAAGTTACTGCTGCAGCTAAAGTTTTCTAATTCACTCTGCAGACGTGTTTCCTGGACGCCAGAATTTGCAGAAAAGCTCATTTAAATTTCCTAAAAATGACGAGATGACAAAGAGGTGGATCGATTGTGTCACATTAATGGAGAGCAGAAGCTCACCAACCAGCACACACTTGTGTTTTAAATCATTGAAATTCAGCCGGGTGGTTCAGTCTTCTGCGGCGTGACAAACTCACAAGAACACGTATTTTTTCACCGCTTTGGCTTTTGAGTTTAACGTTGAGGCTAAACATTCCTGCAGAGCTTCACCCTTTTATCTCTGAGCTCCGGATCAGTTAGCGGCGCCTCTTATCTCGCGCAGAGCATCTCAGAGAAGGAAAGCTTTGACAAAAAAGCAAATAATCACAGACAGTGCTCCGAGGTGCAGCGAACGGGTCAGAACTAAGTCTACAAATTACTTTTAAACCCACTTTGTGCCCCAGTCTGGAGGAAACGTGTTCCTCGTCTTCTGGAAAACCGTCCGATCTCCGCCGTGCTCTCTCTTAGAGCGCTGCCTCGGCGCTCTGTCAGGAGAAGACCGTCCATCAGAGTTTCCATAATGAAAAGTGAGCTCTCCCTCTCACCTTCCTCCCCTCGTTCTTTCTCCGCTGTCAGCCGCTGTCTGCTCCGACTTTCCTCTCGTTTCTACATTCCAACACGCTCGCTGCTGCTTCGCAAAGTCACGATCAAAGTCAGCAGTAAAGACAGTGGAAGTGCTTCTGTGGTGAAGTGAGCGAATGGAGGAGAAGCACCTGGACTGATTAAAGATTTCACTGCTCATTTAGTACGCTGACTTTAAAAGGCTTACACATGCATGAATACAGTTTACTGCACACAATCCCAAGTGATGTGATTAGCCTGAATCTGAGCTTGAAGCGCCGTTTATCCAGAAAACCCTCTGCGACAAGCCGAGACATTAAAACACATAACCAGGTGATTCCTGACAGGTTCACTCCCAATCAGCAGCAAAAAATAATACGTTTTTCTGACATTTTTATTCCTTTTGATTCACAGAGTCAGTGGAGAGAGGCAGGACATTTGGACAAAGAGAATGAGATCCCATGGCAGAAATCAAACCAGGAACTCTGACCGCTCAGCTAAAGGTCACCTCAGGAGCTAAAGAGTACTTTAGATTATTTTCCAACCCACACTTCAGACGCATGACATAATGTGGTGATATATTTATGTTTGACAATCTTTAATCTTGATTTTAGCTTCAGGTGCATTCAGACCGTTCTGCAGAACCGAAGCAGCACAATTAAGCTTTCAGATTATGTTACAACTCATACTTCCTGATGTGGTTGATTATGACACATACATCGTTTGGTTTTATTTTTATGTCTGGCATGCTTTAATCTTGACTTTAGCTCGAGGTGCAGTCAGATCATTCTGCAGTACAGAAGCAGCACAACATGCTGTTGGATTATGTTCCAACTCTTCCAGATGTGCTTCATTAGGATATATACATAATAGGGTGATATATTTATGTTTGACTTGCTTTAATCTTGATTTTAGTTTGAGGTACAGTCACACCATTCTGCAGCATACTGAGGCTGTTAGATTACTTTCCAACCCACACTTCAGGATGTGGTCGATTATGATATATGCCTAATGTAATGATATATTATGCTTGACATGCTTTAATCTTGATTTAATTTGACTACAGTACAGAATAGC